TCTTTATTTACTCTGAGTTTGTCTTAAATTCATGATCATATTGCATCAGTCTTTTAAATACTATGATTATATATGCTTATATATCATCATGTCCAAGTTTTGACTGATCTGTCTGCAAACATTTCTTTTTATATTTGTTTTATTTTTTAAGATTATATTTTCCCTTTCCTCCCTCCAAACCCTTCCATGTATGCCCACCAAGTGTTCTTCAAATTCATGATCTCTTGTTATATTTGTGTGTGTGTGTGTGTGTGTGTGTGTGTGTGTGCACATTTATGTGTGTATTCCTAAATATATAAATATAGCCTGCTTAGTATGTATGTTACTTGTATCCATAAGCATTTAGGGCTGACCATTTGGTATTGGATAACCAATTGGTGTGTTCTTCCCTGAGGAAGACTATCTCCTGCTCTCAACATTCCTCAGTGATCCTTAGGGGTGCTTTCCTTCAGCTACATTAGCATGTCTGTGTTTAGTCGCAATGTTAGTGAGACTTCTGAATGTAGCTTCTGACATTTCTAGGAGACACAATTTCATAGCAAACACTCTGATCCTCTGGGTTTTACAACCTTTCTGCCTCCTCTTCAAACAGTCCTGAGTGTACATATCTTTACAAGTTAATACCAGTAAACCGTGTGCTGATTATGCAATGGTTGGTTTCAGTAAAACATTAAGTATTGTTTCATGAGATGGAAGCAGATGCAGAAATTCACAACTAACCATTGGGCCAAGCTCCTCGAGTAAAAGTGTGGGAAGAGTGATAATTAATGAACAAAGGAGTCAAGAGCATGATGGGAAACCCACAGAGTCAGCTGGCCCGAGCTAGTGAGAGATCACTGACTCAGGTCTGACAGATGGGGAACCTGCATAACTGAACTAGACTCCCTGAATACAGGTGACAGTGGTGTGACTGGGACAATATATGAGGCCACTGGCGGTGGGTCCAGGATGTCACTCTAATGCACAAGCTGACTTAGTGGAGCCCATTCTGTATGGAGAGACGCCTTGTCAGCCTAGACACAGGGGTGTGGGGGTGGAGAGGAGCCTTGGTCCTGCCTCAACTAGGTGATGGGACAGACTCAGTAGACTCCTAGGGGAGGCCTTACCCTCTCTGAGGAGTAGATGGGAGGAGGGGGGAGTGGGAGGAGTAGGAGGAGAGGAGGGAGGGGGACTGAGATAGGAATATAAAAAATTAATTAAAAAAAGTATTTCACGTTCTCTTAAAAGCATACTAAAATAGGCGAACGCTCGTTCCCCTCCCTCCCCCCTTCGTGTTTTAAAGTCAGGTCTCATATAGCCCAGGCTGGCCTGATTGATACTGTGTAATTGAGGCTGCCCTTGAACTCTGGGTCCTTTTGTCCCTACTTCCCAGGGGCTGGTATTAAAGGCACACCACACCATACCCAGCTTCAGACTTATTTTAAAAGATTTAATTTTTTTTTTGGGGGGGGTGTATTTAGAGACAGGGTTTCTCTCAAACTCACAGAGATCGGCCTTCCTCTGCCTCCCAAGTGCTGGGATTAAAGGCTTGCACCACCACCGCTTTAGGAATTGCTACTTTAGATAAATGTTAATTTTAAATTTGTGAAAATTGTGAAATGGTCATGTTTGTGTGCTATAAAGGTTGAGGTGACCATGTTGTAGAAGTGTTCAGAGGAAAGATCTGGATGATCTGTTATGCAAGCCAGTTGTTTTCAGCCTCCTAACGCTGCGACCTTTAACACAGTTCATCATGGTGTGAACGACCCCAACCATAAATTATTTTCATTGCTACTCCATAACTGTAATTTTGCTATAGTTATAAATCCTGATGTAAATATGTTTTCTGATGGTCTTAGGTGGCCCCTGTGAAAATGTTATTTGACCCACAGGTTGAGAACTGCTTATCTAAAGAATGTTGGGTTACCAGGCACAGTAGTTGTAGATTTAATCAGGAAAATGAACAGGGCAATTATAATGTTTTCCTTATAGAATAACTCCTAGGTTTTGGACTAGGACGGCAGATTAAATGGCAAAAGGAATAATGAAAATTAAGAATATAGGAGGAGTGTATTGTAGGGAGGAAGAGGAAAAGAGAGATTTGTGTTGGGCATGGTGGCATAGCATATAATCTCAGCTTGGGGGAAGATGAAGCAGGAGGACACTGTAGAGGCCACTCTCTACATAGTGAGACTCTCTCCAAAGGATCATCACCAACTGGGATGGCCCTGAACTCGTCGGAGGTTGTCTTGCCTCAGTTTCTCGAGTATGACATCAGAAGTGTGGCCCACCATGCCTGACTCACAAGCCATTTATTCCTCTTTCTAAAAAAAATGCTGAGTTTGCTTTTGAAGGGCAGAGATTTCTTGCAGACACTGCCCCAGGAACAAGAGTCAATGTGTTTGAAACCTCTCTTCATTTATTATTGCAGTTAATAAAGACTCTACTTTTCTAGACAGAGACAGAATTTTTATCTTACTGTACTTTCATGTTGATAGCTTAATCTTAATGCCCAGTTAGCTCTCTGGATATCCTCCAAAAATCTTTCTGTATTGCTGTCTGCATGCACAACTTAAACCATTGGTGATATATTCATCTCATGTGACAGTATTACAGTTTCTGTAGGAAGGCAGAGATTGCGATTTCCTTTTAAAGTACTTTGTTAGGGGTACCAGAGAGATGACTCAATGTTTAAGAGCAATGGCTGCTTTTGCAGAGGACCTGGTTTGACTCCCTGCAGCAACATGAAGGCTTACAACTGTGTCTGGTTCCAGGGGATCTGAAGCCCTCTTTCTGACCTTGTGGGTACCAGGTAGGCACGTGGTACATATGCATACATTCAGGTAAACACTCTTACATACAAAATAAATAAATTTTAAATAAGTATACTTTCCTAGTACCATAATTTCTAGCTATTTAAAACGAGGCTTCTCGTCTCAATAATACCATATTTCTTTTGAATTTTAATTGCACTGATAGTTTTCTATTCTGTCACTGTTGGGAGGAGAGCAAAGATGGTGAATTCCAAATACTGTCTTAGTGTTGATTTTTTTTAAAAAAAGCTGTTTATTGATATATATATTGATATATATATATATATATAGTCAAGTGGTACTACATCTATTATACTGCAAGAAGATAACTGTCTTTATGCCTTCTTCTTTTGCCTTAGTCCTCCCATTATCTTGTAACTTGCCTTGGGATTTTTTAATTTATCCATCAAAATCATAAGAACATTTCAGGTTAGGGACGTCAAAGATTTAAAACTAAACCCATTCCATTAGTGTCTGGCACAGATTCTGTTTAAACCAGTAATGTTAACACTGAATTTTAGCTTTGCTCAGGGTGCCTTTGAACTTTCTGTGTAGGTGAGAATGCACTTGAACTTCTGGCCTGTCTTTCCTGAATGCTGGGAGTGCAGATGTGTAGCTCCACTGCAGGCTTGTGTGCTGTTAGGAGAGTGAGTCACACCTCTCTCTATTGTTTGTTTTGAGATGATGTCTTACATAATCTGGACTACGTAGCTGACAGTGATGTTGAACCTTGGCTCTGTTGCTGGTTTATATTGCCTTTTTGGATCCATTTATTGTTATTTTATATTGTGGGTGTTTGCTTCGATGTGTGTCTTTGAGCCATGTGTATGCAGTGGTGCCTGAGGAGGCCAGGAGAGAACACTAAATTCTCTAACCTGGAGAGAATCTTCTGAGCTGCCACAGAGGTGTTGGGAAACCATGTCCTCTTCAAGGACAGAACAAGTGTTTTTTTTAACTGAGCCCCTCACATAGCTTTTAAATAATAATGTTTTAGTTTTGATTAAGAGTTGTTTTAGATTTATTTATGCATATGAGTGTTTCCCTGTATGAATGTTTATGTGCCACATTGGTAACTGGTACCTAAGGAGGTCAGAAAAAGGCTGGTGAATTGGAGTGACTTACTTGGTACTGGAACTAAAAAACCAGAGTCCTTTGCAAGAGCAACAAGTGCCCTTCACTGCTGAGCCATCGCCAAGACTCCATCATAGTTTATTTTTAATACAGTGTTTCATGGTTTATGTATCTTCTAAACGTGTATAAAATCTATAAGCCTCTTAAAAGTTTTTTTTTTTTTCATGTGCTCTGATGTGCAGAGCAGTAGATAGTGTACAATATCATAGTCATGCTATCCAAATGTTTTGTGGCACAGTGTGTCTGTCACCAGTGACTTTCCATTAATCCGAGTGGAGCTGAGTCTGGTGGCTCATGTTTGTAATCCCATCACTTGGAAAGCTGAGGCAGGGAGATTAAAGTTCAAGGCAAGCCTTGCCTACAAAAGTAGTAGCACTCTAAAAACAAACATCTGATAAACCTTACGAACTTGGCTTTGGTTCAAGTTTAGAGGTTGTTAGATCCTCCAAAGATTACTTTTTAAAAGCAGTTATTTATTTTTATTTATTGTGTGTGTGCACATGCATACGTGTATTCACATGTGCATGGATATTCCATGATGTACATGTGGAGGAGGAGCACGGCTTATAGAGGTGAGTTCCGTCCGTCCTACATCTGAGTCCCAGGAATAGAACTCGGCCATTCAGGCTCAGCACAAGCTCTTTTATACCAGGGACCGCCTCACCTGTTCCTTCAAAGCCTATTCTTAGACTCTTTGGACTTTCTCCATGGGATTCATAAACTGCCATCAAAGACATTTGCATTCTGAGCCCTGTGAGGTCCCAGGGCCACTTTAGAGGGTGATACCTCCATGAGTTTTCCATATAACATATTTTTGTGAGGAAAAGTTGACTCTGTAGCATTTATGTTCTCCGCTGGCTCTATTCTGCAAATGGGGGTTGTTCGTTTAGCTCTCAAATACCAAAAAGCTAAACATTGAGAATTATAAGAGCAGTTTTTGTCTGTAGGGGCATATTCTTTTTTTGTTTGTTTTAAAGAATATGTTCATTTGATAACAAGATTTCTTTTGAATATTTTTTTAAAGAAAATGAAGTTTATATTATGCAAATGGAAAGATAATGTGAATTTGCCTTGCAGTGCAATGCGTGTTTTACTCTCAAAATTACCAAGGCCATGGATTGTGGATGAGAAGAAAGATGATGGTTATACTGCCCTGCACCTGGCTGCCCTGAATAACCATGTAGAAGTGGCTGAACTGTTGGTACATCAGGTAGGAAAGGCACAAACTTAGAGCGTTGTAATTCATCAGTTCATCTCACCAAGTGGATTTTAATAGGCTGCAGTAAAACCGCCATTATGATGAAAGCTGAAACAATGTATTCTCTGCTTTTTAACATTGGTGGTTTTGTTTCAATGAAACAGTCTTGCTATAATAACCCTGGCTTAGCTAAAACTCAGTATCTTGCCTCACTTTCCTTAGTGCTAGAATTGCAAGTATGTATCACTCTTCCTGGCTAATAACCCTGGCTCTCTACTCCCAGCCCCTGTTTATCTGTGTTTACACCATGGAACGTGTGAGGGAGTCAGAAGACAGTCCTCAGGAAATGATCTGTTCTTCCATTGTGGGAGTCTTGGAGATCAAACTCAGGACATCAGACTTGCCTGCATCTGGCCAGCCTCTGTCTAGCAGTGACCTATACTCTCCCCAGCATTCACATTTCAGGAGGCATAACAAGATGACAGAGAAACTTACATAAATACAATAAAAACAAGCAAAAAAAAAAAAAAAAGGCTGTTCTCCACATAAGGTAACATGTTAGAGTTTCAGCTCTGGCCAGTAGCCCAAGCAAAAGCGCAGGTAGCAGTCAGAATTGTGATTAGACTGGTTTTAAGACCTAACAGTGTAGGGAACTGGAGAGATAGCTCAGCGGTTAACACCCGCATGGCGCCTCATAACTGTCTGCAACTCCAGTTCCAGGAGATCTGCCACCATTGCACCAGTGCACATACAGTAAATTTAAATAAATTATTTTTGAAAAGACCTAAGAGTTTAGGATGTGTCTTCTGAAAGTTTGATATTGATTTGTTGTTCCAGGCATTGTGCTAATCATATTTTCATGCTATATTTCTTAATCTTTACATAAGCTCTATAAAATGGGTTATACTGTGACATCATCATGGAACTGAAGGAAAGGCTAAATGATGAAATGTGTACAAAAGTGGTTTGTGAGTGGCAGAACTTAAGCCAACAGTGCCTTGGTTTTGAAATCAGTTCTTTTGCCCTTAGGCCTTTCTTTCCCTTGTGTGTAGCTGCCAGTTGCTTTCAGAGTCCATTGCTTGTGGGCTGTCCTCTGAGCCTGCTTAGCACCTTTGCTGACTTGTTACCACTACTCAGATCACCTTTTCACTCAATGCAGAGGGGCTTCATTATGAACAGAAGGAAGTGAGCTATCAGGTGATTAAAGTAACTCTGACTCCTATATGGAGACACAGTTGCTGGCTTTCCAGGGGCACTTACAGTGGATATTGAAAGAGAGTAGTGCTCAGCTCCACAGTGTGCTTTGTCCATGAGCTGGCTTGAGATAGTTACTTGTAAAGGAAGTACTCGCTCTTATATTACCCGGTCTACCTGTAGGTTTGCTGTCTGGTTAGTTTTCAGTATCCACGTGACAACAGTGTCAGAGCAGCTTCCAAGGAGGAAGCAGTGGCCAGCAGTGCTATCTATCTATCTATCTATCTATCTATCTATCTATCTATCTATCTATCTATGCCTTGTGAATAGTTTGCTCAGTGTAACCATTTTAAATTTGTTCATTGTTAGGGAAATGCAAACCTGGATATCCAGAATGTGAACCAGCAAACGGCCCTACACCTTGCTGTTGAACGGCAGCACACCCAGATTGTTAGGGTAAAGTATTTATTCTTGTAATTTTGACTTATAGTACCTTTTTAACCTTACTCAGGTTTAGAGTTTTGTGAAAGTTGAAATGTTACAGTGTTACTTCTCCAAGTAACATAGTTCTAGGAACTTTAGGATAAGGCATTAATATCTAATTCAAAGACTTCATATTGTTCTCAGATTTCCGAATTCTTATGTTAAGTGAGAAAAATTTAAACTAATAATTTGAATAATTACATCCCTCTTAATGTGTGTAGTTGATAGTAAAATTAAAAGCTTTGTCTGGGAACTTGCTGAAGCTTGAAAATTGAACTATATATTTTTAATTTGCTAATCTGATGATTTCAAACAAAATACCTGAAATGAAAAAAGTATTGGTTTAAGTATTCTTATGGAGCAGTGACTCTTATTGGAGACTGAAACAGCTGCCACAGTGCCACATGGAATTGTGACCATTAAGTTCATTCTTGTATTCTGCCGCAGGCCAGGAGAACTAGAACCTGGGAGGGGTCCTTTATTAGATGGTTTTCTCTTTGCTGTGACAAACTACTGGACAAAAAACAACTTGAAGAAGGGTTTATTTTGGCTCCCAGTCTGAAATGGTCCAGTCTGTTCTAATGGGGAGGGAGGTCATGGCGGAAAGAGCCTGAGGCAGTTGTCCTCAGTCAGGAAGAAGAGAGAGTTGAATGCTGACACTCAGCTCACTTTCTCCTTTTCCGTTTTTTATTCAGTCTGGTACCCCAGAGCATTGCACAGGACCACCCACATTCAGTGTGGGTCTGTCCTCAGTTAAATCTCTCTAGAAACGTCCTCAAAGACACACCTGCCCCAGAGGTGTGCCTCCTGGGTGGTTCGAAATCCAGTCCAATTGACAGTGAAAATTACCCACCAGAGGTAGGTAAATTCCTGGTTTAGCAAGCTTTCCAGGTTGTTTTCATACATTCCAAGTTTGAAAAATAAGCCCTAGGATGATATTTTATATAATTTTTTTAGAACAAATAAAGACAAAATATGATTTGCCAAGACAAGACTGTACAGTAAGATTAATTTCTGTGGATGCTGTGGCTTAGAGCTCTTTGATGGTATTTGCAGAAAGGATTAGGAATATTGGTAAAACACCATAAGGAAAATCTAAAGTGAACTTACAATTTACTGCACAGATCACATAATGAAATAGTCAGCAATTCATTTTCCCAAGTGGTTTGGTTTTAGCAAACAGTGTTTACATTTATTGTTACTTGAAATTTCAAATAGGGGTCTAGAGTATGTACTGTGACTGTAGATTTGCTTAGTTTCATATAGGTGTGGACACAATCCAAATGAGGCATCTTTCTCTCAGCTTTTGGTCCGTGCAGGTGCCAAGCTAGACATTCAGGATAAGGATGGGGATACTCCTTTGCATGAGGCTTTGAGGCATCACACTTTGTCTCAGCTTCGGCAGCTACAAGACATGCAAGACGTGGGGAAGGTAGATGCTGCCTGGGAACCATCAAAAAACACAGTGAGTAAAGATAGTGTTCCCTCACTACCATTAGAAACATGTCTTATATTTACTGCTTACTATCTGTGTTGGATAAAACATTTTATCAGAGTTGTCTTGGGTTTATAAAACTTCAGTATTATTGGTCACTACAAAGTGCATTTGTTCTGCATCTTATCAAAAGTTGTTTGGTTCTTTATAACATCAGCATTACAAATAGGGGTGGGGTGGGTATTTGTTATGGTTTTAATTTGAAATCCTTAATGCTTGTTCATTTTGACCAGCTTTTCATCTGATCAACACCACATGTATTTGAGCTATCTGCTCAAGTGTTTCTCATTATAATTTTTTAATTCTTTGGTTTTTTTGTTTGTTTGTTTTTATTTTATTTTTTGAGGTACAAGCACTCTCCCATTTCCTAGGTCTTTTTTTCTTCTAATTACTTCAAGAATTATATAATATGAAAAGGAGGTCATATCCAGTATGTGATATGTGTGTACTTTTCCTTGTCTTTGGCTTGTGTTGCCACTGATGATGATGCTGCCTCCTCATCTTTTAAGGGGGGGGGGTCGGTGACAGAGGAAGATAAAGAGTAATTGATAATACAGTGCTTTTGTGTAGGAGTGAACATATTTTTATTATGCAAAAATTTTTTTAATAGAAATGATAGCTTAGTGAAGAGCATTCACAAGAATTAATGTATGTAAAAATAGGCATGTTAGACTATGCTTTAATCCCCCACTTAGAAGGCCGAGGCAGGATTTGTGACCAACATGTGCTATATAGTAAGTTCCAGGCCAATCTAGGCTAGAGGCTAGGCTAGACCCTAGCTCAAATGAAAACAACAAAAGCTTCCCTGTGTAATCACATACTGTATTGTTTTCAGGTACTGGAGATATGCTGTGTCCTCTAAGTACAGAGAAAAGTCCCAAGTTCATGTACACTCGTTGTGTGTGTGTGACTGCTGCGTCTGCACCGTCTGTCCTTCTCAGTAGAGGATATTTGATCCTTTTTTTCTTTAGAAACTGCTTTTCATTCTTAGAAAGTAGAAGAGATGGGACTCCATTTGATGTACTGTTTCCCCAAGATACTTCTCTAAATTCAGATGGGCCTACAAGCCTAAAACCAGTCTGGTGATGTCATCCTTGTCATCAGCGCCCTGTGATGTCGAGAAGTGAATTGTGCTGCCCACTCATGTTCCTTCTCCTTTTGACACGTGTCTTCTTGTGATGAGCGCTCACTATCTTCCCAGATGCCCTCAAACTTGATACTCCTGCCTTCACTTTTGAGTGTTTTGGATTACAGATACGAGCCACCATGCCCAATTTTTGACAGTGTTCTTAGAAGAACAAATTGTCCTTTTTCTTTTTTTGATGATTTATTTATTCTTTTTTAAATGTGCATTTGGGTCTTTTGCTTGCATGTATGTCTGTATGAAGGTGTCCGAAGCCCAGGAACTAGCGTTATAGATAGTTGTGAACTTTCATGTGTGTGCAGGGAATTGGACCAAGTCTTCTGGAAGAGCAAGTGCTCTTAACTGTTGAGCCATCTCAGGCCCAGAACAGAATATCTCAATGTTGATTATTATATATGTTTTATGTGTCCTAAGAGATCTTTAGCAAAATGAAGGTCACTCAGACTTTTTCTTGCTTTATGTTATAGAAACTTATAAAAGATGAGCTGTTGTGTTTTAAGTTCACTGAGGATATGGCATATACATTTGTCATTGATGGGTGTCCGGCTGTCCCTGAACCATTTGTTGAGTAGTGTCTTTTTCTACTTGAGTGTCTGCTGCCTTTATTCAAGATCAGTTAGCTATTCATGTGGAAGTCTCTCTCTCTCTCTCTCTCTCTCTTTTTTTTTTTTTTAACATACTTCATCTTGTTCTTTTGCTTCATGTCCTTATCTGTGCTCAAATACCTTGTGGCTTTGTGATTTGGAATTTGCTCATGTTGAAATCAGTCAATGGAAGTCCTCACATTTTTAAAAATTGTTTGGCTATTTTAAGCCTTTACACTTTCAAATGGATTTTATTAAAATCTTAAAGAGTATAAATAAATCTGAGGCCAGACTGTTGGTGAATTTTTGTCTTGCATGGCTGTGGGTGTGTATTTTTAACTCCTTTGTGCCTTCTTTTTCTTTTTCATCACTTTAGAATTGAGAGGAACGTACTTCTCTCCATAGGTTGTTGTATAAGGTCATGAAAGTACTTGAAACGTACATGGCTCATTATGGATGCTTAGTGGATCTTGATAGTTATTATTGCAATTTCAGATATATTTGGATCCATAGCTCAGATGACACAATCAGATGCTAATTTGTCTCATTAAGTTTTGCCTTGATTCAGAAACACTGTAAAGTTAGTTCATAGCAGCTCCAGCATATCATTGAGTAGAAGCAAAAGTGGCTTCTTATCGCGGTTAAATAAGGATCAGGATAAACAAATAGGCAAAATAGATGTTTATTCAGGGAGAAAGAACTTACAACCTAGACAGATGAACACCAGGAAATTCAACCCTATCCTCTCCTGTCCGAGTCACGCCAGCAAGAGCGCTTTTCCTGGCTCTCCCTCCGACTTCCTTCCACAGGTCACTTCCGCCCATCGCTCCACCCCCAATGGGCGTGGTCAGTGCCACAGAAGGACTTTCTCACTACAGCTTCTTCATAACCAGACACTGCACTTGAGCTTCTCAGCCTTAATTGACCTGACTTTGGTTCTATGTCTGTCTCTGAATCAGTCATGTAGGAGGCAGGTGTCCAACTGGGTTCAACCACTTTGGCTCCACCTGAACACTGCAGAGTCAGTTCTCAAATGTGGGAAAATCAAGGGAAATAGAGAGATGAGTCCTAAGTGTCACACACACACACACACACACACACACACACACACACACACACGTATTGGTAGTGATAATTGATGGCATATTTCCTTAAGGGAAAATCGTGACTCTTTCCACTTGATTTCAGCTAATAATGGGACTTGGTACCCAGGGAGCAGAAAAGAAGAGTGCAGCATCTATTGCCTGTTTCTTGGCAGCCAATGGTGCCGACCTCAGCATCCGAAATAAGAAGGGTCAGTCACCACTGGATCTCTGTCCTGACCCAAGTCTCTGCAAAGCTCTGGCAAAATGTCACAAGGAAAAAGTCAGGTTTGTACTCTTTATCATCGCATAACTTAGTGTTGTATTCATAAGATGCTGTGTAGCTCTGTAAGGGAGGGCCTGGCACTTGCCCCTGTCTGGATCTTTGCAATTCTTAGATCTTTGTGTTGCACTTGAAAGCATTTCCTCTATACCAATTTATGCATGATAAACTTGAGAAACTTTCTGAATTAGTTTGATTTTCTAGAAATCCTATGTGCTCTGGGAATTTATAAGGAAAAGCCTTACTAGTGAGAATGCTGTGATTAACATTATATTTTCCTATAAAGAACAGTTTACTCTCATTGAAAATTTGTAATAATTCTAGCACCTTGCACACACACACACACACACACACACACACACACACACACACAGTTTTAATCCAAACAAGGCTATGAAAATATTGTTGGCCTTTATACCTCTTATCACTGACTGTATTGCTAGCTGTCCCTTTGCTTGTGTATTTTCTTACCTCTCTTAAAATGTTTAGGTAACAGCTAGGCAGTGGTGGCGCTCACCCTTAATCCCAGCACTTGGGAGGCAGAGGCAGTTGGATTTCTGTGAGTTTGAGGCCAGCCTGGTCTACAGAGCAAGTTCCAGGCATCAGGGCTACACAGAGAAATACTGTCTCAAAAAACAAACAAAACAACAATAACAAAAATTTCATTATGTTATGATGAAATGCATTTATTTGGATTTCATGAACAGAACTATATGATAAGTGAATGTAAGATAATGAGGAAGGAGGGAGAGATTATAGACTCATGTTAATTATTGTTTTTAATGATGTGTCTGTCTGTGGAGGCAGTAGGTTGTATGGGAGATTGTAAACCATCCAGTGTGGATTCTGGGGACTGAACTTGGGTTCTTTGGAAAAATAGTACATTCTCTTAACCACTGAAACCTCTCTACAGCTCCTTTTTAATATAAATAATTTAAATGGGAGCCTAACATAAGTATTTTAATGTATATATTTAAAATGTATATATTTTTGAAGTATATCTTTAAGGAACTTAAAATTCTATTCTAGGAAAACAGAATGTATCTAAAAATAGACACAAGGCACTCTGATTATTGCAGTAATGACTTTGAACAGTGGAGTCTTACATGGAAGCTTTATGTGCATTCTTAAGTTCTTGAAACCTGTGTTTACTTTCCATTGCTGTATTAGTTATATATACGTGCATTTTCCTCCCTGTTTCTGCACATTTATTCAATGTATTCTATCTGTAGTGTAATTTTATCTTCCTGAGCAACACACACATGGAATATTGGGAGGGCAGCCAAAGTGCCTCACTCCAGTGTTTCCTCCTTGTGAGCTCTGGGCTCCTTTCCTGGTTGATACCATAGTATGATGTTACTCAGGGCTTTTGTTTTATTCCTGTGATAGAACATGTTCTAAATTAAACTTCATTTATATTAGCTTTTTGTTCTGTTTAAGACAGAGACTCAGTATGTTGCTCTGTCTTTGAACTCCCTGTGTAGACCAGCCTGGCCTGGAACTCACAGAGATCCACCTGCCTCTGCTTCCTGAGTGGTGAGATTTAAGGAGTATGCCGTTGCTGGTCTGGCTCATTAAATTAGTTTTTGCTGGTGTTTTTAGCTGTTTATTAGAAGATCACCCTTTTTCATTGAGACTTTATTTAATATGAAGATTGACTGACACCAGAGGGATAAGGTGCAGAGAGGCTCATAAATAGGTAAAAACCAAGGTTTTAGTACCTTTTGGTGTATTCTTACAGTAGTAGAGATGTGAAAATGAACATTTATAAGTAGAAAAATGGTTTTTATATAAAGTTTATATGTTATTGTTAATATCTGTTTTTTTAATGTGTACTAATGATGCCCTGGATGTTAAAAAAATTAATTTGTTTAGAATACTTGGATGGGCTTGATTTGAAATATTTTGTTTTACTAGTGGCCAAGTGGGTTCTCGGAGTCCTTCTATGATTAGCAATGATTCTGAAACCTTAGAGGAATGTATGGTATGCTCAGACATGAAGAGGGATACGCTTTTTGGTCCATGTGGACACATTGCGACCTGTTCTTTGTGTTCCCCGCGTGTCAAGAAATGCCTCATCTGTAAAGAACAGGTTCAGTCCAGGACAAAGGTACTGTGTCTGTAATGTGCTGCTCGGTCTGTTGTGCAATTCTGTGAGACCATAACACATATTAGGCTATGTGATAATTATTTCAGTTTGTTCTTACAAATGATTTAATATCATAATACATAATTTATATATTTAAAGAGATCAGTTCAGATTTTCTGATTTAATTTCTAGTCTAACCTTACTAATATACTTTTCTGTGTTCATATTATCACATCTTAAAATTATTCATGGTTTTAAACTCTCACATTTTTTAGCTTATATTTCATTCTTTATATCTAAAGTACTGTTTTTCTTTCAGAGCCCTCTAGAACTCAAGATACATTGAATTCTTTGTATTGCAGAGATCTCTAACCCACTCAGCAAATTTATTGTTACTCTCAGAGCCTTTGACTGTAAGGGAATAGTGACCCCAAGTGGTTAAAGGGGAATCAACAGCTTTATTGAAGAAAAATTCTAAAACTAGTATTTAGAGGAAAGGATACTTTTAGAGGAATCATTTGGATTCTTCAGTAGTTTGGGAAATATGAATACATTTCAAATTAATACTTTCTGTTGAGTAAGGAAATAAAAGTTTTTGTTTTAAGTGCTAACAAAGTAGGAAGTGGTTGCTTTGTTAACACTACTAAAGGCTTGGAGGCCAGCCTCTGCTCAGAGCTTTACATAACAAAATGTTTTTGATTCAGGGTTCCACTCATGAGAGTAAAATCTGAAGAAATAATCCACAAGGGGAAAATTTGTGGTTAGAAAAATTTTAAATAGGAGGATGGGTAGATAAAATGATTGTTAGATAGTTTGCTCTACTATTTTAAACTCTTACCATTAATATTAGGTAATTTATCAGTACTGGAGGTGTCTTTTGAGTTCAAGAATAGAAGAGATCAGCCAGATTTTACTGCACTAATAAACTAATGTGCCATGTGTACAAACTCCATGCATAGCCCTGAGGGTTTGGCCAGGAGAGCCCACCTACGTGAAAGCAAGCGGGAACACAGTGGTCAGTGGTTAGTGGTGCCATCCTGAGACGCAGTCATTTCTGGACAATAATACTCAATGAAAGGTAGCCAAATATAGCTATGCTGGGGAAAGGTAGACCGGAGAACAAATGGGAAAGGAAGGGCAGTGTTGTGCTGGAGGGAAAAGGAGCCGGAGGCAAGGCTATCACAATACTTGGCAAAATGTACACCTTGTAGATGAGGTCAGATGGAAATTATGAGTAAGTTGTGGGAGACTTGAGGACTTAGTGATAAGGCAGGGTGAGGAATAACCTAGAAGCTTTGGGCTCCAGGCAGCCTGGGAATTGTCCAGGTCCTAAAGGGGTAGGGCTGTTAAGGAGAGTTCCCCAGATGGAGGTAACACAGACCCCCCTCTTCAACTTTTAACAGTTTACCAATCTGGGTAGAGTTTTGTTATTAGTCTTCTCACAACCATTTGTTTTAATATTTATTCATCAAATTTTCCTTAAAGTTTCTAAAAAGAGAAAAGTAACCTTTAGTTGTTTGTCCCTGGCCTCAAATGAAATGGGATCTTTCTGTGCTGCTCTGTGTGTCAGGTAGGGAGTGAGCTGAGCTGCAGAAATGCCATTTGGTGAGCGGCCAGGAGGGCGGAGCACAGGGGAGCACAGTGGGGTGTGAGCTGCTGGGCAGGTGGGTGCACTTCCTTAGTACTGTTCACTGTGCTGCTTTGTGTGTCTTTGCTGTAGATTGAAGAATGTGTGGTGTGCTCTGACAAGAAAGCGGCTGTTCTTTTCCAGCCTTGTGGACACATGTGCGCTTGTGAGAGTAAGTAGCCTACTGGGAACTCCCGGGTGACAGTATACAAATAGAAGTGAAGTAAAAAGTTACGTCTTTGATTCCCACCTACAGGAAAGCTGGACAGGGTTTGAGAACCTGTGGTCTATGCTTTAGAGCAGTAGACTACACCGAATAATTTGAATACTGAAATGCTTGTGTTCTCTCAGGCCCGTTGTTGTTTGGGATAGCTTACAGTTTCAGAGTTTCAGCCCATTATCATGGTAGGCAGCATGCAGACAGTCATGGTGCTGGAGCTGAGAGTTCTACATCTTGATCAGCAGGTAACAGGAAGTGAGCTGAGACACTGAGTATAGCTTGAGCATACATGAGACCTCAAAGCCTGCCCCACACTGACATACCTCTTCTAACAAGACCACATGTATGTACTCCAGCAAGGCCACTCCTTCGGGGGCCCCCTTTTTTTTTTCAAGCCACCACAATATCCTTTAATGTTGGGTTAAATTTTATTTTCTATTTGTGTGTGTGTGTGAGAGAGAAAGAGAGGTGGGGGGAGGGAGAGAGAAGAGACACGAGGGAGCTGGTTCTCTCCTTCCACCCTGTGGGTTCCCAGAACTCAAACTCAGATGGCCAAGCTTGACCCACTGAGCCATCTTATAGGACCCCTGAACACTGACGTTTTTATTCTATATAGTTTTCATTCTGATAGACAACTTAGACAAATAAATAAAAAGGCCAAGGGTTTATTCAGTTAACAGCCTACCTTAAGAAATCGTTTCTCTTATCAAGGTCTGGTGTAAAGGCTATCATCAGCTGTCAAAAGACTCATAGAAAGACATTCTCTCCGTCTTTTTTTGTTTTGTTTTTCAAGACAGGGTTTCTCTGTGGCTTTGGAGCCTGTCCTAGAACTCCCGAGTGCTAGGACTAAAGGAGTTTGCCACCACTGCCCAGCTATCTCTCATTCTTAAGTAAACTTTTGTAGACCAGAGGTTTTCAACAAACTTTTTCTGTACAAGAACAAATATTCAAAGATGGCTTTATAGGCTACATGGCTTCTGTAGTGACCACTCACTTCTTTATTACTACCCAGCGCTGTCATTGTAGTCCAAAAACAACCATGGAAGATATGCAACTATGTCCCAATAAAAGCTGGGCAGTGCTGATATACACCTTTAATCCCAGAGGCAGAGGCAGGCAAATCTCTGTGAGGTTGAGGCCAGCCTGGTCTACAGAATGAATTCTAGGACAGCCAGGACTATGTAGAGAAACCCTGTCTTGAAAAACCAACAAAAGCTCATTTAAAAGAATGGCTTTTAGGCAGTGTTCCTTCTTTTTTCTTTCAGATATTTTTCATTTTGTTTTTCTGAGACAGGGTTTCTCTGTAAAACAGCTCTGGCTGTCCTAGAACTTGCCATATACAAGGACCCAGAACCTTAGATCAAAGTGAAAATGGCAGAGCTTGTCTCAGGGGAGGGTGCAAGCATTTACAGTGTGTGCACACAGTGTCCACCATGGCTGTCTCCCTTCAGATGTTCACAGCCTGGATACGGCAGTCATTGTTCTAATATTAACTGAATGTGTCAATAGTATATCTCTCCATTTTCTAAATCTTAAGATCTTTTTTGTTTATTGGTTTTGTTTGTATTTTTGAGACAGGATTATAGTTAAATACTATCATTCTTGGCTAAACCTTATTATTCAGAAATATTTACTTGAAAAAAAATCACTCTGGATATATTAAAAAATGCTTTCATAATAAGTTCTTTTTTTCCCAACAGTTCTCATGCTTAGGTTAATTACATGACAGTGAGGTAGCATTTTTGTTTATACCTTGATTTTTATTCATAAGTTGTTATAGACTCTGGTATAATTCTTTAGTGTTTGCTTTAGTGTTAATGGAGAAATTAGCAGAGAAAGGCAGTGTTATTTATGTTGTAGCTAAAGAAGTGTCTGTGTACTCATTTCCAGACTGTGCCAGCCTGATGAAGAAGTGTGTGCAGTGCCGGGCAGTCGTTGAACGCAGGGTGCCTTTCATCACATGCTGCGGTGGGAAGGGTTCAGAAGACCCCTCTGATGATATCTGTGAGTGTCTTCCCTTGGGCAGCTCCTAATTTTGCTTCCTCGCTGGCTCTACCTCCCGACTTTACACATACTACACTATAGCTGCTGCCTTGTTCAACAGGAGTTGGATTGACAGAGGAGCAAGTATGGGGTTTTTATGGTGCTTTTATTAGTTATAAGAAATGTAAAATCAGATTTTTATTTAGTTTGTGGTATGCTTATATGGACTTGCAAAAGGTGTGCAAGCATGTGTAATGTGTCCATGTGAGTACTTCTGAAAGCCTCCATAAGCAGAGGACAAGTCTATGGAGTTGGTTCTCTCTTCAACCTTTACATGGCTTCTGGGGATCACGCTCAAGTTGCTAGGCTTACTGGGCAAACGCCATGTGTTTTCACCACTGATCCTGTCTCAACACCAGACTTGGGAGGCAGACACTGTGCTGCTCACATCTGGATCAGAAGCAGCAGAAAATGAACTGAGACACTGGGCAGTATCTTGAGCATAGGAGACCTCAAAGCCCATCCTCACAGTGACACACTTCCTCCAACAAGGCCACACCTACCCCAGCAAAGCCACACCTCCTAATAGTGCCACTCCCTATGAGATTATGGGAACCATGTGCAGTCAAACTTCCATACTCCCCAAATGTATTTTCTCTTGTGGATTTCACTACGCTGACTTTGATCTCTCTGTGGAGAAACATTTTTTCTTCTTCTTTTTTTTTTTTAAAGAAGACCCTAAGGATAATGTTAGTTCCCTCTACCCTTTTCTTGTATAGTAAAACTTCCAGAACCCAGGGCCTTGCATATGGCCTGCAAACATTTCCCACCAGCCATCTTCAGCCCCAGGGATTTGTGTTTGTATGTTTGTTTTTTTGTTTTTGGTTTTTCAAGACAGGTTTTCTCTGTATAGTCCTGAAACTCACTCTGTAGACCAGGCTGGCTCTGAACTCAAGCTATCTGCCTGCCTCTGCCTCCTAAGGGCTGGGATTAAAGGCATAGGCCACCACTGCCCAGCTAAGTTTTGTCTTTTAATAATTAAAGGTTTGTCATTATGTCAAAACAGTAATAACTAAGATGGGTTTTCTTACATTCTAGCAAGTGGGAATATTCCAGTGCTGCAGAAGGACAAAGACAACACCAATGTCAACGCAGATGTACAGAAGCTGCAGCAGCAGCTGCAGGACATTAAGGAGCAGGTAATGGTCGCCTTCCACCACCCAGTGCTTCTTCCTGTGCCGCCTCATTCACATCTACTAGGCTAGTGCCCTTTCTCTAGAGCATGGTTTGTTACAGCAGATCCGTGTCTGATATCTGACAACCAGCTTTAGTCAGCTATTTTCCAAAACACAGATGCCAACAAACGTGCTGGGAAAAGCCTGAAAATCTCAGAGAGCTGCCTTCCAAGGTAGCTTGAGGAGTGTGGAGAGCTTTTTGGTGTCATGTGGAAGGCAAGAGTTGTAGCAGCAGAGCTCCTATGCTTCTGCTGAGCAGAGATGTTACTAAACCCATGGAGGAGGACACTTGTCTGTTAAACCTAACAGTGGTGTTTAGGATTCTAAGCCTGGCAGGAAAAAAAGGTGTTAAAACCTGGGTAATGATTTTCTCTGCTAGGAAGAAGCAGAGGGGAAGTTTCTAGAGCCTGTTGTAAGAGTCTGGTCAGGTTGTGGATTTCTGTGGCTTGTGTACATTTCCATACTTCAATAGAAACTTAAAATGTGTATATGTACATATATTTATGCAGAAAAACAAGGGAAAGGTAAGTGCAAAGTTCAGATTGGTGTTGATCATTGAGAGGTGGAGGGGAGGAAAGTATGGGAAGGGACTTGAGAACTGAGAGTAGCATTGTGTCCATCAAACTGGGTGTTAGTTACATTGTTATCTACACTATTGACAAAATGCACTTTTATCTACTCAGGGTTATCAAAGCAAGAATAGAAAAACAGGTGTATACTACGTGACACCTTGAGTCTTGAGCCAGGTGTAGTGGTACATTCCTCTAACCCTAGACTTTGGGAGGATGAGCGCAGGACCAGAGAGACCTTGTCTTACAAATGTCACAGCAAGAAGAACAGTAAAGCAAATCCTTTTGTCACCCTTGCTATCTGACACAGTGTGGTTTGAAGCTGGCAGTCACATCACTATTGCCAGCCAGTGTAGCAGTCCTTGATTCCAAGTTTGTTGTCTCTGTTTACCAGAAATAATGGATGGAGTAGGTTCTCAACCTTCCTAATGCTGCGACTTTTTTAACATAGTTTCTCATGTTATAGTGACCCCTTACCATAAAATTATTTCGTTGATACTTCATAACTAATTTTGCTACTGTTATGAATCATAACATAAATATACAATATGCAGGATATCTGATGTGTAACCCCTGTGAAAAGGTCATTCCACCCCTCCCCCCCCCCAGAGGGTTGCAACTCATAGGTTGAAAACCACTGCAATAGAGGGTGGCCCATGACTAGTTTTAAATGGAGTGCATGCATTTACTAGTAAGGCCTTGTGCACATAGCTGAAGAGAGAAAAGCCTTCTCATTGAGCTAGGTTTCCTGAAGAACCCTCATTTAGCAATAACTGGCAATAGCAATAGCGGGTGGCTAGCCAACTTGCTCCAAGGTTCCCCTGACTGCCTCCTTTAATATATGCTGAGATTACAGGTGGGTCTGTGTGCTTCCCTGGATCTGGGTTCGGGGTGTCTGACCTCCGGCCCTCATTATGTCATTTTTATAAATGTCACCCATCCCTCACCAATCAACCTACTTTCCCTTATTGGGTGCGCCCTGCTCCCCACCCCTTGGAGGCTAGTCTTTCATGTCTTCTCCTTTTATTGCAGTCTTACCCTTTGCTTCTGCCTTCGTGTATATCACTTCCCTCTCATAGTCCTCATATTTGTGTCTAGTCAACATGGATGTAACATGGCATTTGTAGAAATTTAAATCTAGATTCTGCATATGAGAAATATGGTGACGTTTGGCTTTCTGAGGCTGACTTGTTTCTTGTAACATGCTTTGTAGCTCCTTCCATTTTCCTACCAACATCATGATTTCATTCTGCTTTATGGTTGAATTCCATTTTGTATATGTACTACATTTTCTGTCTGTTGATGGGCATCTGGGCTGGTTCCGCCTCTGCTGTGAATGACGCAGCCGACAGTGTGGGTGTGCAAGTATCTGTGGTATACTGATGTCATTTCCCAGTTGTGAGACTGCTGGGTCTTACGGTAGTTGTGACTTTAGGAATTTTGTTTTCTTTTAAAAGAATCCGCATGCTGATTTCTGCAGAGGTGGGAATGTAAGGTTTCTCTTTCCCTACGCTCTTGCCAGCATTTGTTTTTTTTTTTTTGACCGCTACTCTGACTTGAGTGAGACAGATGGAAGTAGTTGTAATTGTGTTTCCCTGATGTTGAATACTTTTTCAGATATTTTCTTGACAATATATTTCCTCTTTTGAGAAGTATCTATTTGGTTCATTAGCCCAATTGTTGATCAGGTGATTTAGTTTTGTTTAGTTTTTGGAGTTTTATATTTTCCAAATATTAATCTCCTGTGTAATGTGTAGTTGGTAAAAGCTATCCCCTTATCATTTTCTTTCTCTCTCTTTTAATTTTTAAAGATTTATTTATGTATGCGAGTGCTCTGTCTGCATGTACACCTGCACACCAGAAGAGGGCACCAGATCCCATTACAGATGGTTGTGAGCCAACATGTGATTGCTGGGAACTGAACTCAGGGCCTCTCTGAGCCATCTCTCCAGCCCCCACCTCCTTATCTCTTTACTTAGTTCGTTATGGGTGAGTGCGCGTGTACGTTTGTATCCATATGTGAAGGCAGAGGTTATCTTCAGGTGTCCTTCATCACCGCTTTGTTTCCCCATGCATAGGGATGTGCTGGGGATCTGAACTCACTTCCTAATCCTTACCCTAACAAACACTTTTCTGGCAGACCAGTCTGTCTAGCATAGCCTGTTTATTATTTTAGATAGGTTCTTCCTTTGTAACCCTGGATGGTCTGCTTTTCACTGTGTAGACTAGGCTGGTCTCAAACGTGTGGTGATCCTCCTGCCTCTGATTCCAGAATGCTGGAGGCATGTGTGCCACCATGACAGTCTGTACATTGTCTCCTTACTGATAGTTTCTTCTGCTGTGGTGAAGCTGTTTCATTTTATGCAATCATATTTGCTAAAGGTCATTAATAAGTGGGGAACGTATTTGACTCAGTCAACATAAAATAGCTTGGGGCTTGGAGAGATAGTTTCGTAGTTCAGAGCACTTGGCTGCTTTTTCCCGGGTCCTGAGCTCAATTGCCAGCACCCACATTGGCAGTTGCCTATCTGATGCCCTAGTCTGGTATACTGGCATGAATGTAGATAAAGCACTCTTGTGCATGAATAAATAGTCTTTTAAAATGTTTAAAATTTTAAAGCTCTCCTGCAGTGCAGTTCCTTTCCCATGAGACACAGAAAGACGAAGCAGTTTTGTTTTCTTGTATGGAGTCAAAACTGCAGAAAGAAGGGCTGGAGAGATGGCTCAGCTGTTGAGATCCCTGCTGCTCTTCCAGGGGATCCAGGTTTGCTTCCCAACTAACAGCCATGCCAAGTGTTTTCTAAGCCATTCATAACTCCAGTCCCAGGGGACCTGACGCCGTCTTCTGGCCTCCATGGGCACCTGCATGCATGTGGCATACATAAACATTATTAATTTATTTTTTTTACATTCCTGTCTTTTGCTTTATTTCTGGTATCCACTTATGAGTGAGTACATACTATATTTGTCTTTCTGCTTTTGGGTTACCTCACTTAGGATGGCTTTTTTGTCGAGACAAAACGGCTCCCTAGAGAATGGGAAAAGATCTTCACCAACCCCACATCTGACAGAGGGCTAATCTCCAAAATATACAAAGACCTCAAGAAACTAGAAATCAAACTACCAAGGAATCCAATTTAAAAAAAAAAATGGAGTACAGATCTAAATAGAGAATTCTCAACATAACAGTCTCAAATGGCAGAAAGACACTTAAGGAAATGCTCAACATCCTTAGTCATCAGGGAAATGCAAATCAGAACAACTTTGAGATACCATCTTATACCGATCAGAATTGCTAAAATCAAAAACATCAATGACAGCTTATGCTGGAGAAAGGGGGACACTCCTCCATTGCTGGTGGGAGTGCAAACTTGTACAGCCTCTGTGGAAATCAGTATGGTGATTTCTCAGAAAAGCAGGGATCAGTGTACCTCAAGACCCTGCAATACCACTGTTGGGCATATACCCAAAGGAGGCACTGTTATGAGCATGTTTTCCGCCACCCTGGTCCCACAGCCACGCCAGCCCCAAATAACACACAGAGACTCTGTATTAGATATAATGCTGTTAGCCTGTTACTAGCATTTCTTATTGGCTAGCTCTGTCTTAAATATTAACCCATTTCTATCCATCTATGTATTGCCACGAGGCTGTGGCTTACCAGGTATTGCCCCAGCATGTTGTTACTCCTTTGGCAGACTCTCAACTCTGTGCCTGGCCCGCCTAAATTTCTTTCCCAGAATTCTCCTCCTCCTAGTCCTGCCTGTCTTCCTGCCTTACTGGCTAACAGTGTATAATTCATCAACCAATAAGAGAAACAATACAGAAAGACACCTCCACCATAAAACAGTAATGTTTAAAAAGTAATAACATTAGAAAAGTATATTCAATAGTGAATTTACTGTGTGTTTGTATGCTTGTGCCTCGTGCTATAGAAAACACTTGAGGCCTTACAACATGGCAGACACACACTCTCCTGCAGACCTAACCCCAGCTTTCAGTTTCTCACACTGATACATATTGAACCCTGTTGTAGATCAGCTTTACTGATTTGTAGAACTTTTCTTCCCCAAAATGCTTTTTCTTCCTTAAAAACTCACACCTCCATAGTTCATCACTAAACACTTGTAACAAAAGTAACTTTTTATGTATGGATGGGGTTTCTTACTGGAATCTTCCTACAGGATGATCACAGTCTAAGAAAACATGAATAGTTTTCTTTATTCATATCCCAGTTTTTCTGTTATCCCCTTGTCCGTGCCCTAACCCCTCCTTTCCCAGTCTCTGAGGCTAAGGCTGCCTTTAGCTTCTGATTGTACCTCAGCAGGCTGTAGGGATTATAAATCTGGACCATTTGACTCAGGTTCCTGCTTGACTGGTTTAATTTACAAAATTAATTTTACATACTACTAACAACAGCATAATCACTCTTAAAGTAATAAATGTGTTTCCTTTTGCAAATGCAAGTTATTAGTCACATAGAACTTTTCCTTTCTTTCATTTATTTTTGTCTTGGAATGAAAGCTAGAGACTCAAAAAAAAAAGAAAAGAAAAAGAAAAAAATGCTAGGCAAGTTCTCCACCACTGAACTATGTATTCCCAGCCAGGTACCTCGAATTCTTGAAAATGTAATAGAATGACGCTATTTTAATGCCAATAAATGGGTGGACTGACTTTCTAAACATCCAAAGATGTGATCCCCCCACCCCACTTGGCGTTTTGAAACTTCAATGTAGATGATTGTAACAGTTTGTTTGGAAAGGAATATGTTTGCCAATTTATTCCTCAGTTCTCTCTCTCTCTCTCTCTCTCTCTCTCTCTCTCTCTCTCTCTCTCTCTCTCTCTCTCACACACACACACACACACACACACACACACACTGGTCTGCGTTATCATCAAAGTTACTAGCTACATTGTCATAGACTTGAGGCCGTGTTTAGTAATCCAGTCATCCCTTTTATCTTATTCTATGTTAGGAAAGAGAAAGTTCATAATGAAGTGTTACTTAGAGGAAAATGGGCTTTTGTTAGCGTAAGTGTGTTTTATGAATAAATGATGACTTCCTACTAGACTGGCTGAAAGCATGTACCCGAGTCTGGAGAGAGGAATAGTGCTGGGAGAGTGTTTGAGAGCGAGAACGCTGGGGCTAGAAAGTCCATGCTGACGTGTCTTGATGTGAGTACTTAGCAGACTGGGGAGTCGAACCTGCATAGTGCCTATGCCTAGCAAGGGCTCTCAGCTGGGTACCTGCACTGCACCACTGCAGTGCCACACAAAGGCGCCGGGTACCTGGAGCTAACAAGTCTGCTTCACATGCAGCAGGGTAGCTTTCATCCATTGCCACTCCCCGAGTTATTATGTATGTCGTGTGTGCATCTTGTACATGCAGGAGCCGCTGGAGGTCAGATCCCCTGGAACTGCGAGCCAACATGTCAGTGCTGAGAACCAGGTCCCTTGCAGGAGCAGCAAGCATCCCTAACCTCTGAGGTGTCTCCAGCTTGCACTGTATTCCATGTCCTACCTTTGTACTGTTTGCAGAGAATAGCTAGCATCTGTATATTGTAGAGATGACCTTTTATTATAACTATTTTTTTAAGACATGATTTTTAAATAACGCTTTTGAGCTGGGTGTGGTGGCAAACACCTTGAATTGTAGTACTTGGGAGGCAGAAGCAGGTAGATATCTTATGCATTACATAGTAACTTCACCAGCCAAGGCTACAAAACAAAATCTAGTTTCAAATCCCCCCTACAAAAACAAAACAAAACAAAACAAAAAAACTGAAAATTTTATTCTGAATAGCAGTACATTATTTGACTAAAACTACAAGAGAAAATTAATGATATAAAAGAGTTGTCATATTGCACTTAAAGTATAAAATGGCTCATATTTACCCATTGTCTCATTACATTTCAGACTATGTGCCCTGTGTGTTTGGATCGTCTGAAGAACATGATTTTCCTCTGTGGCCATGGAACATGCCAGCTCTGTGGAGACAGAATGAGTGAATGCCCGATTTGTCGCAAGGCAATTGAACGGAGGATTCTTTTGTACTGATTAAGAAACACAGAGTGTGTTGTTAGCTAAAGTATGTGATCATGAGATCTTAGTGGGTTCTGAAGCTAGTTGGAAGTTTAATCTAATGGATTAATTTGTAATTTCATAATTTTTTATTAGAATATAATTAGACTTATATATGTACCACTATCACAACGAAAACATCATACAGTGTTTGAAATTGCTGATTTGTGTGTGTGTCTGTGTTTTCCTCTTAAAATTTGGAACATCCAATCTGTGTTAATAGGAAATTTGCTTTTGGCTTCAAAGGGGAAATCCTTTAAGGGCGTCCTTTCGCATTTGTTTCTATTGTATTTTTCTTTTTAAATTTATACATATGTTAGACCTTAAAAGTGACTTAAAAGATTGATATTCCTTCATGATTATCATGATTTCACACAGTGAAATGACACAGTTATTCCAAAAGTCCTATGTAAGGTGAGTGGACAAGTAAAACTATATCACATGTGTTAAATGATAAAAGTATAGAAGATGCCACATGGCTGAGGCAGTACTGAAAGGAAGATTATATTTCAAGATCGTTAGAAATTATCCAAATGGTTGTTTCAGAATTAAGTAGATGGGAGCATGTGCTAAGAGAATGACTTTACCTTGTTTTCTAGACTTGAGGAAAATTGATTAGCTTAAATAAATGACAAGTTTCAGAATCAGCAGTGGACATGAAAGGGAAAAGCAAAATTGTAATGAGAATTGAAGGGTAGCACAGAACGATCCTAGCACGCCTCCTGCCTGACCAGTACTGCTCTTCCTGTGTTAGCTTGTCGCTGTTTGGAGCAGCCATTTGCAGAAAAAGATCTGTGAAAAGTAATGTTCATTTTCCCTGAGACGACTTAGCTGGGCTTGATCTGATGAGTGCACACACCATCATGTTTGTGCCTCTGAGGTCTGCTCTGCAGGGTGATGCATTATTAGAGACAGCAAACTTCTGTGTCTGTTCTGTCTGAAAGTGTTAGAGAGTTCATCAAAAGCCTTACTTCCCCTCTCTCACATAGCCGTTTTTGCTATAAAAGTATTCTTTAAACTGCCAACCATAACTAAGATATAGTGAATAGCTTAATATCAGATACTTAGAAAGGGTGCAGAGGCACTTATGGGAAAGCATGTGGTTACATGTAGATTTGGGAGGGGGCTAAAAGCATTTATCGCCTTTAAATGAGTAATCTCTGTATCTGTTGTAAATGTACATGTAGTGTTGTGAGATTCCTCATTGCTAGATTATAAGAAACATCAGCTGTTTACAACTGTCTACTCTATGCTGTGTATAAGTATATACTCTTAGTGTTCTTTGGAGATAGTTTTTCCCCATATTTGAATCTAGCTAGCTTATTTCTGTTTTTCTGCTGTAGCAACTAACTGTGGGAGAGTGGAGTGTCCAGCCTGAGTGCGCTTTGTTGCTGGTGGTTCAGGCCTCCTGGGACGATGTCCTGGTTGTGTTGCAGACTCAGCAATTCAGTGTCTGTTTAGCTGAGTAACTGCTGTATTTCTCTCTTTTGTTTTTGAGATAGTGTCTCACTATGTATTCTTGGCCTGGAATTTACTGTGTAGCTCAGGCTGGCCTCAACCTCATGATCTTTCTGCCTCTGCCTTCCAATTGTGGGATTATAAGATGAGGACTCCTCCCCCATGTTCAACAACTATCAGTCATTTTGGACAGTACAGTTTTTTGTTAGTTTCAGATTAGGAATGTTACGTTGAGGCTCTATTTAGTTATATAGTTGGGAACCAATGAGGCCATTTTCTAAGTATAATTTGAAGTTAAAAGAAAAGATACTCTGATGATACAATGTTTACATAAAGAGACAGATTATCTTCTTGCAGACTTGGTAATAGCAAAAGTGAGGCTCTTTTCCTCCTTGCCGTAGGCTGTCCTTTGGGCAATGAAGGATGGCTGCTGCTCACAGTTTGCCAGCCCAAGAACCTGTGGGCCACAGCTGCATGTCCCTGAAGTCCTTTTCTCCGCCTCTTGAGCTGCGGTGGTAAAGCTTGCATCTGTAAGGGGGCAGGCCTTCCAGCCCACTCCTATCTCTGTCTCCTTGTTAGAGCACATAACTTCTGTGAGAGAAGCCGTGAAGTCTCTAGTCCTGGGACCTGGGGCTTTCTCTCTGTCACTTGGCTGTTTATTCATGAACAGAAGATGTTCTAAGTCATGTCTTCAGGCACCTAAAGTTATTGTAAATTTGCTTAGGTTTGCAGGAGACAGCAAGACCAAGAACTGAATCATGCCAGTGACTTTCTTCCTCACTCTCTGAAACTGCTACCTCTTAGCCTCTTCACAGTACTTGGCCCAGTGGGTAGCTCTCCTCCTTGTTACCCAAGCCTCTCTTCCCTGTGCCTCAGAACAACTCTTAACTTCCCTTAGGATTATTCTCACAATGACATGCATTTTCTTTTTTAAGCATTGGGCTTCGGGGGCTTGATAGGAAAAAAAAAAAAAAGACCATGTCCTAGCACACTCAGAGTTCACACTGCAATTGTGTTGTGTCATTTCTGGACAAAAAAAAAAAAAAAAAAAAAAACCGCTAGGGTCTTGAGGCACTTTTAGCATCCTGATGCCTTTCGGGAGAGCTTTTGGGAAGCAGTATTTGGAGTCCTTTTCTGTACCCTCACCCCACCACACCACCTTTTCTTCCTCTAGATACATACAACTTACCAGATGGTGCTAGCACAGCTGCGCTTGTTCACAGAGTTTGACACTCAACGTCCATGCTGTGCACACATTAATTTTGTTGGGAACAAGGTTTTCAAGAGAGATAGTTTTATATTAGTGTAAGAACATTATACTAGGCAAGTGTTTAGTTCAGTTGCCCAAATTATGCTTAAGGTATTTGTAATTTAATAATGACAAATTAACCAGAAGTCTACTGAAACATAAAATTAACTGGAAATAACTTCTTAAATTTATATTTTTGATGATTTTAGCCTGAAAGAACATTTTATTTTAGAATGTTGAAATGCATGCTGCTTAAGATGTGTCTAATTCAAAATTGAAACCTTACTGGGTCACTTTTGTACATGGGAACATCTTGGGTAGTCATACGTTGCCTGATGGGTGTTCTTATTTTCAATTCTGGACACTTTTGAACTAGGAATAGTTAAACTTGTGAGCTAGGACAGTGCTGGATGGAGCAGAGCTGGTTTGGGACATTAGGGTTGCAGCATATGGGAAACAGAAACAGTTAAGCACAGAGAAAAGGAGCATCATGTAGGATTTGCTACAGCCTTAGTAGAGAGGGCGTATTTAATTAAAAATAAAAAGTGTCTATTAGGTCAGTTTTTCATATGTCTTGAAAATTGTTTTGTAAATTGCAGATTTTAATACAGCTTACTTTTTTTAAGATCAAAAATTTCAAAGTGTCTGAAATATAGTAATGAACTGACTTACAGGATGCATTTTTTGGAAGTTTTTTAGATTGCAGTAAGAACCACATATCATACGGTTTGTTACCCTGACTGCTTCTGAATGTGCATTCAGCAGTGTCACTCCACTCACTGTGTTAGGAAACAGGTGCGGAACTTTATCCTGCACAGGTGAATGCCATACCCATCAAGTGCTCCCTTTTTATTATGCGGTAGGGTTCTGGGTTTGCAAGATCTAAACTTAGATAGACATCAGGTTACTGACATTTGAGGGAAAGGCATCTCTCCCATGCCATAATTGTTATTTTTACATGTATATTAATTGAAAGTGTTTATTATTTCATTTTGGGGGGGGCGCAAAATTGGGAGGGTTGGAGACAGGGTTTCTCTGTGTAGCCCTGGATGTCCTAGAACTCACTCTGTAGACCAGGCTGGCCTCAAACTCACAGAGATCCACCTGCCTTTGCCTCCCAATTGCTGGGGTTAAAGGCATGCGCCACCACTGCCCAGCTCAGAAAAAATACATTTAAATATGATACATAAGTTAGATTTGGTTGTGTACTAAATCGGGAAGGTAACAGATTTTCACAAGTCATTTGTGCCTTGTTATAAACATCCTTTGTCATTGAGTCTACCTGTCAAAGTTTCAGAATATATTTTTCTTTTAAAATGGCATTTAATTTAACTTGCTTGAAATATTACATAGGAATGCTTGCTGATGTTACTTGGTAATCATGTATATCTTTTTCACTTTTACACACACACACACACACACACACACACGACAGCAGTATTGGTAATTATGGTTGTATGTCTCTAAACATTACATGTGAGGAAGCTGTTTAATGCTGTCTCGTACACATGTTGCTTTCCTGCAGTGAAGGAGAAATCCTTTGCACTGAGCATCAGAGGCTGATTGAGTGGCTAATAGTGGGGTCAAATACAGCATTCAAAGAGGAATGCATAGTTCATAAAGTTAAGTTGTTACTTCGGCATTTTCTACCTCCTTTTCTATCAGAGTACTGCTTTTTCCCCCTTCTAGCGTCTCATGTTTATGAGTGAAAGGGAAACAGCCTGAGGTTAAAGTTAGATTTTCTTTTTTTGAGAATGTAAGCAATAGGTGAAGGAAAAGGGACTTGTCAGGTTAATTTGATGCCTGAATCTAAAAGTGTGAATTGATGTGTGCAAACTGTCTAAGACGGAAAATAGTGCTGAGTATCTGAATTGTCCTGCGTAGTTCTTATTTTATTTCATACATGACTTTCCTCAAAAACAAAGTAGTCTTCTAATTTTTTTTTTTAATGAAATAAGCAAATACGTCATTTTGCCTGAGTGTGCAGTTTCAGGAAGCTACTGTTCTGACTCAGGGCCTTTTAATAGTTTAAGCAATTAGTAATATGTTTTGGAAGCTCCATCTGCATAATTCTTCAGTGCCTTGAATGAATTACTAACTCGGCAACACTTCAGACTTTGTAGTGGGCAGCCTTTAGTACACTCGTGTGTGCACATTCCTAATCATACCGCTAAGCGTGTGCGTAGCGGCTCTGCTCTGCGTGTGTGCTGGGTTCGCACTATTCTTTAAGGGGAGTGTCTACATTTGCACTTGATACTTGGTTTTTGCTTCTGTTTTTTAAAACCTGATTATTCAAGGCCACGGGCACTGTTAGAAGAAAAAATGGTGTTTGCTGTCAGTATGCAGTCACCTTGAGTAGCTGTTGGGGAAAGGTAGGGCACACACTTCATGGTTAGTACGAAAAGAGGATCAGTTTGGGAAGCAGATCTTCCTCTCAAGTGGAAACCAAACCAAGGAAACCCCTTTTTAGTGTTCAGTTAAAAAAGTGATTGAAAGGAAATCATGAATTGCATGTCATTCTTAATGCTGGCCTGTTGACAAAAATGCACATTTCTGTCTCTTTCAGTATGTGTCTCTAAGTACAGTATATTCAAAAAGGAAAAAGGATTGATTTATAAGTGTTTTGCTTTGTATTTTTTTCCAGTTCTTCTTAGCTTTCAATGTTGGAATAAATTTAAGTCTTGTTTATGGATATAATTTCTGTATGGAAAATTATTCTTGCTTATTAGCTTTTGTTTAAAAAAAGCTTAGTAATAGCTAAGCTTTTTTAAATAAATGAAAACATTTATCATTAATAAAAGCTGTGGTGTAATATGTTTTTCTCTGATTTTGGGAAAGCAATTCTTTACAGTAATATGAATGAATTTTTATTTTTAAGGCATTTGAAAGCAAATCTCAGTACTTCAAAAAAAATCCTATTATTGGAAAGAAAATTACCATATCTTTGAGAAACAAGGACATCTCTCTCCAAGTCAATATAAGAAGTAAGCATCCACATCTAGAAGGCTGTGAGTGCTCACATGGCCTCTGGTCAAAGAAGCTTTCCTATTTAACACCTACTTCTTCAGGATTAACATTATTTGGAAAGTAGCCTGGATAGAATAGGCTTGATCAAAGGAAACCAGACAGGAAGACTCGGCCTGTCTGTCTCTATATATTTTAAATGCTTACTCCTCTTCAGAAGTCAGGTGTGTGTGTGTGTGTGTGTAGTATTTTTGGAAGGCAAGTATTTTACAGCAATGATTTACCTTCCCTTTTCAGTGTTCTGTGAGTAACTGGTCATTGAATAGTTGGGGATGTTTTACTTTTACAGTTAGTAGACGCACTTGTTTGTGACGTTGAGAGGTTCTCCGATTCCACATTAAAAGATATATATCCCAAATGTCTAGGAGAAAATTCATCAGAAACAGAATCTTTTGTTTAACTGATAAAAGCACATATGTCCAACTTTAAAACTGAATTTTTTTGGATAACTTCTAATTGTATTTTGTGTTCATTTCTATTACTGTATAAGTAGCTATCTCACGGTAATATTTTTATTAAATTGAAACTAGGTTTAAAAATAAAGACATTTTGGAAAATCTGGTTTATATTTTTTCATTGACAGTTAATTCACTCTTCACATAGGTCGTTGATACTGTATGGCAAGCATTTCTCAAGCGTGGTGATGTTCTTTAGAGCTGCAGCGTGGGTTCAGGGGTGCAGTGGAGTGTGGGGTTGAGTGGGAGCCAGAGCAGTTCTTATAGTGAGCATTTGACTAAAAGCTTCCCCATTTATAACCAAACTGATAACTGATGCGCGTACTTTTATTTTCTGGAGGACCGGTAATAATAATAAAGATAGATGTAGGAAGTAAATATAAGACTAGACCGTAACAGACCATCAGTGAATGGACGACATGTCAAGGAGACAGACTGGTGGTGCGGCTTCTGTGTGATGTCCTGAGGAGATGCTTTCTGTATGCCCTGGACAGGCCCTTGCATTCACAGAACAACTTCCTAAAGACAGAATTTTAAAAATAATCTCATCAATTAGTATCGATATTGAACAGAACATTAACAAGTAGTTTAGAAAGTGCTGATAGGGTGAAGTTGACCCTAGTCTAACAAAGACAAGCCTTTACTTTCTGACCATATCACAGGCAAACCATTGCAGAAAGAGTCAAGAGAGTCACTCCTGTCGAGACACCTAGGAGTAGACTCTAATGGGAGCCAGTGGTGGGGGCACTCGTATAGGCTTAATGTTAAGAGGTACAAATTCAAGAGAGGGTGCCATGTGGTTGGGCTGGAGGCCCTATCAGTTCTTGCCTCAGCGTAGAGCATTTGCTGTGTGAACCCAGGATCAATCCTCAGCACTGGAAGAAAAAGAAACGGAAAACATACCATTAGTAACCTGGATAATTCTCAAGGTCACATAGGACATTTAGTAAGTAAGATGACATTTGAGACCTTCATATATACTTAAGTGGATCTTTAAAAAATGACAGCATGTTCTCCCAGACCACAATGGAATTAAGCTAGAAATATAGAGGTGGTTTTAGAGAAAAGAAACAACAGCTCAGTTGTTAAAGCTGAGGACTTAGCTACACACCGAGGTCAAAGAGATCTCAAGAAATGGAGGCTACTTTGGATGGCGGGGTATTGGTGGCTTACAGAATCAAAAGGATCTCAAGTTAGAGGCTGGCTAGGTGATTGACAGATTGAGCCATAGGCACACACACAGAGAGCAGTGAAAGTCCCTGCAGAGAAAGCAAAAGATCTAAACTCATCAAGCCACCTCTAGAGAATTAGAGGAACAAATTAATCAAGAGGAAAACAAATGTGAGCAGATGCTGGGAGGAGGAACAAACCCCGAAACACAAAATAGGAACTTACTGGAGCAAAGTTAATAAAACTAAGCCAAACCCTGACATGATGGAGTAAAGCCATTAACCAGGTTAAATAAACAATTAAAAGGCAGGGGTTGCTGACACCGGAAATAGGAGCAGTGCCATCACTATGTAAAATGAAAGTCGTCATGGCACACCTGTGGTTCTGGCACGTGCACAGTGGAGGCAGAAGGATTGGTAGTTTACAGCCATCCTCAACTGCAGAGTGAGCCCAAGCCCACCCGAGCTACATGAGGCACAGTTTAGAAAGGAAAAAAATATGAACAACTATCCCTGAGTATTTTTATATTACCATCTAAAGGTATTCCCATCAGGGAGAACTGGGGAATCTGTGTAGCTATCAGAGAAATTGCCTTTGAAAACAAAAAATAGGAGCAGGGCCTTCAATGCCAAGTAAAGAAATTATGCCAGGTATCTACTGTCTCTTCAGAAGCAGAAAGACGTCCTAAGAGAGAGAGCTCAAGTTCATAAGTAAAGAATTTTCCTCCAACTTGATCTATGAATTCTATCAATAAGAATACTTATTTTTTGGATATTGACAAAGTTGATACAGAAGAAGAAAAAGTTTGAGGATTAACAACCCTCCCTGACTCCAGGACTTAAAATGTGTACAGTACAACTGACGTTCCGTAATCGGCCTAGATGCTCACCAACAGATGAGTGGATGAAGGAAAACATTACATGCACATAGTACAACCATAAGGAGTGGAATATTAGACAGAAAATGAAAGGTACCTAGAGAGCATCATACTGAGTGGTAGATTCAGACAAACATTACACAGTGTGATGGTTAATGTGGTCAACTTGACAGGATCGAGAATCACCCTAGGACACAGGTATTTTTATCTGGATGAGAGTAACTGGAGTGGGAAGACCTACTTACTACTCCATAGACCGGTTTCCTTACTGAAGTAAAAGGAGAAAACTAGTTGACTGAGGAATCATTACCCTCCACCTCCTTCCTGACTAGCCACTTCACGCTCCTGCTCCAATGACTTTCCAGCCGTGATGGACCACACCTCTACTGTTAACCCAAATAAACCCTTTCTTGAATTGCTTTTGCCAGGTATTCTATCACAGTAATAAGGAAACTAATAGAGAATTGGTACTGAAAAGTGGGCCTGTTGCTGTAATAAACCTGACCATGTGGTTCTTCAGACCCTTGGAACTTGTCTGCAGGAGGAGTGGGGAAATTCGAAACTTTGGGCAAGAAAAGGCATTGGATATTGCAGACAGAGCTTAATAGACCATTTTGACGGAAGGTTAGAAAAAAATGCTGAGAAAAACAGACAGTGGGGGCCTGGGTAAGATCCTACCCATTGAAGTCTCTGCCTTGCCAAATGCAAATTCATTACAAAGGAAAGAACATAAACTGAGAATCAAAAGAAACTGCCTGGGGAAGTATGTCCCCAAGATCAGCACACAGAAGCAGATGCAGCTGCGATCCAAGCGACTCAGGCCCCATCCCAAATTGGCAACGAACATAGCATCATTCACTCGGTAGTTGTTTTGCAGGTATGAAGGATTAAAGACGTTATCCAAGTCTGTATTTCCATTCCAGGGAGCTGCTAAGCGAGGCGGAGTCCCTGCAAGAATCTCTGAAGCCTAAGCTGCAGTGAGTGAGACTCAGAACCATGGGATCTGCTGAAGAAACCTGCAGGCGTGGAGCAGAGTTGGCCCAGGAGAGACACCGTGTGCCATAGACATCAGAACTGAAAGAGTGAACCTCCCTAAACCTCCTGAAGTGTGCACAGATGATTCTGTCATGACCCCCCAGATGCCAGGCATGGAGGCGCAGAGTGGACAGTTGTCCTGCTGAGTTTCAGTCTTGCTTTGGTCTAATCTTTCCTTGCTTTGTCCCTATTATTCTCTTTTTGGGATAGGAATGTTTGTGCTGTGCCAGTGTTATATGTGTAATTTGTTTTGTATTTTACAGGAGCTCATTGTTTATGAGTCTCAGATGAGACTTGGACTTTTAAACAGTGTTGAAACTGTTAAAATACAATGAGGGCTTTTGAACTATGAGACGGTCATGAGCCTACAGGGATGGAAGTTACTCTTTGAAAGTGATGTGATTGGGTATCAAGTTGACACAGGGGAGAGTTGTAGTAATTAATATTTTCAATTTGTCAGAATTTAGAATCATCTAGGAGACAAGGCTCTGGGAGATTATCTAGAATAGATTAGTCTCTGGCCAAGCCTGTGAGGGATTGTCTAAATTAGGGTAACTGCGGATGGCACCATTCCATGGGATGGGGTCCTGAAAGGGATGAGAAGGAGAAGGCTGATTGAGCATCAACATTCTTTCCTCCCTGCCTCCTGACTGTGTACAGTGGGCCAGCTTCCTCAAGTTCCTATTGCCATGAGTGGAAATAAACCCGCCTTTCCTTAAAGTTACCCTTATTTTCAGGTATTTAATCACAACCGTAGGGAAAGTACATGTTTTCCCTTGAGTGGACCTAGCTTTGAGTGTGAGTGTGTATATGACAGGGAAGCAGGAGGGGCTGTTTGAGAGGAGGAAACAAACAGGAAGGAGGCGGGAAGGGGATTCGGGGTAAACCACGTATGCATGAAATGTTACAGCAAAAGCTGGTCATGCGGGTCTACATCATGCAAAGCACTTTTAAAACTGAATGGTGGTTTATGCTAATAATTCCAGTACCTGTGACTGTGAAAAGAGGCCGGAGAATTGCTGTCAAGTTTGAGGCTAGCCTGGGCTAAAAAATGAGGCTGCCTCAAAAATAAATAAATAAACAAATATATAAAGCGGGCAAGACATCTGGACACCTCACTAGAGGAGACAGGGATGTGGCACAGCATCCTGTGTCACCAGGGAGCTGCCATTTAAAATGCAGATGTGTAAACTCAGTTAATAGGATTGCCAGGTTGTGAAAGCCAACGATACCAAGTGC